TGACGATAAGTTGCTTGAAATTGTTCAGAAGTTCCGGTCACCAACGATTTCAGCAATTTCTTGCGAAAGAATGGCAGATTATTGTATTAAGGTCATTTTTGAATGACATTTTGATCTTCAAAAATTTCCATGTTGCTTTTGCAAAAATGGAAGAATTCTTGTTCAACATTTTTTATTTTAGTTTATTAATAAGCTTAACGTTGGCAACATGTGGCACAGCGTTGTGCTTACAACTCGTCACTGGCCTGATACACGAAGTAGAGATGCTAAAGTTCTCGAACTTCATCAAATAGCATCATCGAAAGAGCGAAAGTTTATCGAAGTATTGCATCAGTTGAGTGGTGAAGAAGACTGGAGTGATATAATTTTGTTTTTCTTGCGGTTAGTTTTTTGTTCTTCGAAACAAGTTATCATTTCAGTTATGTCAGATTTTTAGTTTCCTAAACTTTTGAAAACCGGTTTTTTTTTTTTCATTCAGGAAAATGATCATGTCATTAGTGAAAGGTCGTTTGCTCTCTGTTACGCAGCACGGTCTTAATATTCGGTGTGTTCTCTTATGTACTAGAATATTGCTGCAGGTAAAAGCATTTATTTAATTCATGTCTGATTATAATTTTTATAACTGTCTTATCAACCACTACCTCGGCTTCCATCATTTGTTTGATGGAGAAAAATCGTCTAATGTTTTTGAATTCTTTATGTCGTTAGTTAGGGCTCAGATCTATTCATACTTTTCTTTTTCTTAATTCGATATGAAATTGAATTTCGAAAATTAATATTTTTCTCTCCTTGATTTAGATTTTCGCGATGGTTTCATTGCATTAAAAATAAAAATGCAATCTAGTAGCATTTCATTTACATCGAATTATTTCAAATAAATTGAATATACTTATAGTTAGCATTAGTAGTAAATAGAATCTAGTTTCATTTTTTTTTATTTGTCAGGACAATTCAGTGCATGAAATGATAAACTCGGTGCGTTGCTTGTTATGTTGCTTGATTGAACGTGGGCCTTCAGACAGAGTTGTAGCAATGATGTGTTATGCAGTCGTGATAGTTCCAGAAATTGTTGATCAACTGTTGCTTGAAAAAAATGAGCATTATGAGCCAATACGTTCCGTGATGTCAGTGCATTTGGCTTCAGGAGTAAGTTTTGTTACTATAAGGAATTGATTTTAAATTAACAGGCACAAAAAAATATTTTGCATTCTTGTTTGAACGTTTTTTTTCAATTTTCTGTGTTTAAAAATATTGGGCACAATTCTTTATTGTTATGTTTATATTTCTTGACATTACTTATATCTCTTTTCAGGAAGAAATGTTCACGACATTCAACAAAGTAATCATGTCCCGTTTGCTCAATAAAACTGCTTACAGTACTACATGTTTGCAGAAAATTAATTCAGAGAGTTTCATCAACTGTTTTCATCAAGCTGTTAGCATAGCTACTGAAGATATTTCTGTCTTGAATGTGGAATCATTTCAGGTTTAATAAATTTTTTATTTTGTATTATAGTTTTTTCCAATTTCTTTCACTCCGTGTGAATATTTTGTATATTAATTTAGATTCAAAAAACGACTTTTATTTTTCTAGATTGTTCCACAATTATTTTTTGTTAACTGTTTAGTTTTATTTCCTATTTGCAGTTGAATTCGAAATTTTCATCCGCAGTGGTAACTTGTTATGCATTATTAAATTCAGCCGCCAGTCGTTTGGTCTCTAATAAAGAGTCATTGGTATTGCCGAAATTAGAAGAATGCATTCAGTTGATATCACGTTATTTTGAAAGTGATGAAAAGGCACGTTTTTATGTTAAATTTTTAGGATTTTGATCTTTTTTCATGGCTTAATAATAGACTTTAAGAAACATTTTCATACTAATCAAGTTTCGATGATAGATTATGCACTTATTCGTGGCAAGAAAAATAAGTCGTTCAGGAAAGTTAAATTTTTTAGAAGCAGGAACGAATGTATGCTGATTTAGCAGAGCTGCAATCTCTACCACAAAATATACTTATAAAATCTCTACTTCAACTCTTGCTTTTTTCACGCTTGTCGATATTACTAGTCAAAAATGCTGAGTATTCTTCCATTTTGCGGCTCGAAAGTATTGTTGAGACAATTTATAAATTTCGTGAAATTACCTATTCAAGATTAAAGCAGGTACTTATATACTTATGATTTGAAACGAAGAAATCTTGTAAATCTTTTTACGCCTAGTTTTCTCTGAAAAATTTTCAACAGCTGCAAAAGTTATTTACAGGAGTTATTTATTTCAGGAAACGGGAACAACTGAAAACCGCTTACTTTTTTTTGGCTTAAATGATTTTCTTCGAGTAATGAAACCTTTGTCAAAATACTTGCGAGATATTTTTGAAGAAGAAAAATAAAATGCCATTTTGTTTGCTTGCTTGCTCATAATTCTCTCAATTGTTTTAGCAATTTATTATTCAGGTATTCAATCTGCTCAATTGTGATATTTTTGAACTTTGCGAATACGGTCTTTCTCTTTATACTTTTTAATGATAGGAATTACGCAGAATTTTTGATTTTGTTCGATACAGTCACATTTGAAGCTAAAAAGTTTTGGTTAAGAGATTCAATGAAGACTTTTTGAAATAGTGGAGCAAAGTTTTGAAATCTACTCAGTCACTTCTCTCTGTACAAATTCAAGAAATTCTTATTTTGTGTAACTCTCCTCAAAAGTAAGGCTTCATGTGTTGGTTCCATTTCGTTCCAGTTATAAATTTGAGATGACTTTTCATCTGCTGTGGGATTTTTTAAGTGTCTTAGCTTCAATGTTTTGACAAAGGTCATTAACAAATATCTTTGCCATTCATTAAGGGTTCGTTTTTTAAAGATTACCCAAAATTTGTCGAAATATAATTTTAATTCGTACATTATTACGCAAGCAAAAAGCTAAAAATTTAACAGCTAAGGGTTGACGTATCTATCATTGCTTTATATCTTTGAAATACTCTACGAATTATGCATTCACCTGCAGTATTACTAAATTTTGTCGATTATTTCATCATTTGTCAATATATTTTTCAGTTGAATCATAACGTATTATGTTTATCTCAAATATCGCATCAATCCTTAAGTCCAGAATGATAAAAATGTGACTGAACTATTTATTAGGGCTTCTTTATCCCTTTCCATTTTTCTGCGTATGTTGTTATTAAATTTACATAAGTTCAAAGTGAATTTAAACAGTAGTTCTCTGTTATTGAAATTGCTAAGTGCGCTTACGTTCGAATGCATGGATTTTCAATCAGTTTCGAACATTCGGAAATGTTTGAATGTCCAGTTCTGGCTATGTCAGTTTTGTCCTTGGATCTTGACGTTGAGTTTATGAAGACTTGAAGTTAAGGTTAGCCTATTTCACTGGCATAATGGATATTACTCGTGGCATTTGTTGATAAATTACAAAGCCATTATGGAGAAACATGATCTTGGTGCTGTACCATGGGAACCTTACAAGGTATGTCAGATAATGCGCTGGAATTTATTTCAGCGGGGTCTATGTTTTACCCTTCTGGTGGTTTTGATGTCAGGGCAATACTTCTGATTCGATGCGAACTGATAGAGATAAGGTTGCACTGATGGGAGTTATGAGATGGTTTAGTTATAAAGATTTTTCAAAGAATGTGTAGTATACGTCGACGTCTAGTGAATTTCTTTCAGGCGGCAACTTCAGCTTCTGTGAAAGGAATTCGTCCTGCTTTTTTGCCCCCTCTAATAAAGTATAAGATTGCGAAACATGTTCCTCAACTTACTCCACTTAAGAATATAATGAGTTCAGATGGTGCTCAGAAAACTGTATTAGAAGCAGGTCATTTTCTGCCATGTTTTGGAAACGAATTTGTTAGGTCACGGTAGTGTGTTTAAATTTTCTAAATCAGTGATTCAATGACTTTATTGATATCGTTTATCAATTCTTTTATTGTTAGTGCTAAGAAGTGAATTTTATGAATTTCTGTATAGTTTACATGTGGCGCTTGTTAAAACGAGTGTCCAAGCAAGAAAGTTTTTGTGTAGGAATCGGAGATGCTAAAATTTGTGATTTATCAAGAATACGGCCAGCTGGGGATGGGAAAGAATCTTCAGCTAATTTGAATGAAACTAAGGGACAAGAAAAGTGCGATGTAGGTGATGTGAACGAGATTAATAAATTGAAAAAAGACCTCGAGGTTAAGTTTTAATTTTTTTAGTATATTTGGATTTTTGCATATCTTTAGGAAGGACTAGTGTTTGCACTTTTTTCAGGTAGAGCTTGATTTTCAGATTTATAGAAGTCTTGTTTCAGCTTGAAAGACATATAACGGAAGAATTGAAACGCTTACTAGTTGCTACAATGGGTGATGATTTGACGTGTCATGTACATTCACTTACTGAAGATAAGATTCGTCTTGCTCATACTATGGAGAGTTTCGAGAAACAGGTGTTTGTTTGCAAATTAAGAAAAATTTTTTTTCTGTCATGCAGTTCGTCTAATTCTGAATAAATTAATGTACGAGATAGACTATTAAAATGAGTATTTTGTGAAACAAAACAGTGTGACAGCTGTTCTTGAATAACTCTTTCTTAATTTTCTTCGTGAAATAAGTTATGTTGAATTATTTTATATCCGTACCTTTGGCGAAAATTGCTGGTCAGTAAATCTTTCACTCTCATCATCATATTTAAAAATGTTACATATTTCACTGTTGACAGAGTTTCTTGATATCTTTTTATCAGGTGACACGAGACCACGATCGAGCAGATAATTTTGCTATATTAGCAGACGTTTGGCGTTGTAAATTCCTTGCAATGAGTATTCAGGCTGATGAATTACGTGTTCAACAAAATCGTCTGCTCAATTACTGCAAGCAAATGCGAATATTACTTGAAAAATTTGTCGATGTAAACCAAAGTATCTTTCGCGGAGAGCCGTCATCCATGATTTTGGATTCATTAATCAAAAAGGCTTGTGAAGTGATGAAAGTCGAGCTATCGACATTTTTTAAACGTTCACCTTGCGATGGAAAAGTTTACCACCCGGATCCACTGACATCGAATATTACTATTACTTGTTGTAAGCAGTGTCACAATAAGGAAATTAAGTTGATTTAGGCTTTATATATTTGCAAAGTCATGATTATTGTTATACTGTTTAGGCAGTCACTTTCGTGCTTAATTTTATTAAACATTCTGTTTGACTTTAAAATCCTCTCTTGTTTAGTATGAAAATCAGTTATTGAAAAAAAGTATCTTGCAATCATATTGAACTCATTGAGAAGTTTTTCTATTTGCAATAGGAGAAACAACAATACTGTTGTGTTATTGGAGAGATTGTACTTACACTACTTTTCACGTTGTGGTCGATATTTATATTATTCGTTCTTTTTTTCTCCGGTTTTCCGTTTCTATCACTATTGCACAGTAATTAGAATTTTCTCATGTACGGATATATTGTGTTCCGTTATTAGTTTTCTGATGCTTTGAAACATATTAATCTATTTATATTTACAAGTTTGTCGTGAAATATGCATGAGTTGAACATTTTTGGTGTACACAAAATGTAAATGTTTATATATTACTACATAAAATAATCGGGCTAATGACTTGCGTTTCTGGTTTTGTCAAACTATTTTTTGATTACTTTGCTATTATGTTACATTGTATTATTATATATCAATGGATATGGTGAACATTGCTGGTCAGTAAATTTTTTTA